AAACATTCAGCTTTGATATTAATGAGTTTTTTGGGTTCATTGAGAACATGGTTGTTGTTCAATAATAACATTATTCCTCAAAAATACAACTTGTCTAATAATTCTGCACTCCCTGTAGATTCACTACCATAACTATACAAACTGATTAATTACATGTAAGACACGCCCTTAATGCTAATATGTGTCCACTATTTTCACCTGAGAGGAATTTTATCCACATTAGAGCTGCAAACTTCTGGGAATAACAAATTTATATCTATATATCTATATCTAATCTATATCTATATCAACAACTAGTGTTCACAGTCTGCTGGAGCTGTGGATGTGTGTGGAAAATGATAAATGCACTTACAGTCATTATAAAATGCTGTCATAAACAATACCAACTTAAACAGCACACATTAATGCTGTGTTGGCAGCACTTGTCCCTCGTTCAGGTTACACACAGAAGAAACCAGGATCAGCGAAGATCAAAGATCAGAGCTCTGATGAAAGCTTTCACCACACTGAGCATCATCTTCGTCATCTTTACCAGGAGATGAGCTCACAGCTACAGGACGGCAAACACTGATCACTTTAAATGGTTGACTCGTTATCTGATTACTATGAAGGTGGACAGCCTCTGAATTATTATACAAACCTGTCTCTTATTTCTATCATCATCAAGATTATTGGCACTATTTTTGTTACCTTTTGGTCAGTCTTTACAATTTTCACATAATATGTGTGTGAGTAACTATGGGAAAAGTCTGCTGTGTCATCATCCCATGAAACATCACTGCTCAGCAACAACTATTCAGTACTTCCCTCTGTCCCTCCTATCAGCAGACCAAATGTGCTGCTGATACATGTGAACGTGGTGTAAATGAGCTTTATAATTATTTTGAATGTAATAATTTAAATTGTATATATATATAAAGTGACAATGAAAGCAATTCAATTCCCAGCAGTGATACCTGCTGGTCTCACCTGTATATGCAGCCGGGGAAAAGCAGACATGCAGAATCCAGCAGAATATCACAGATTTGCAAGTATCCATCTCAGGTTGTCCTGCAGATCCCAAATTCATGAGTGTTACATAGTTTAAAAGAGAAGCTGAGTCGACTGAAAATACACAAGAAGTTTATGTTACCAAAGCTTCTGATATGATCCACAAACATAAACTAAGGTTTACAAATGTGTATGTCTAACAGTGAATAGTGATTATTTACCCTCCAAAATGTTTATGTTCAGCAAATGTGTGAAGGAATTACCTGATATGACAGGATATCACTTGTTAGATGAGAGCACAAAGTGCTAACAGTAGCAGAAATGTGGGCATCTCTGTGTCTTAGGTGATTTCTTCACACATTTAAGGTTCTGCACATCAGTTAAAAATAGAGTCACATATTTTTAGACATCTGTTCTCACAGGAAGCAAGAAAATTATCAGACTTGTGAAACTGAAAGTAAATTGTGTGTAAATTACGTAGACATTAGTAAAATGGTTTTTGCTTGTGGTCAAATTGCTTTGGATTTTGAAACACAGTGTAGATTGAAACACGCGTTTATGAGTCAGAAGTTACACATCTGAGGTAAAGTCTGTAGTGAGTTCAGCACACCCAGAGTATCCAACACTGTTGTTCAGAATAAGCAGTCACACAAAGCTCAGTTTGTTAAGTTTACCAGGGTTTACTGAGTAAGTAAAGTTAAAATATATGTTGTGTATTTTATATAAAATCAGCAGCGTGAGAGAAAAAGCTAAACTACAGTATTGTTGATCTCTAATCTGATTAAGTTACCGTGGTGATTTACCCCAGCAGTACAGAGACCCTGAAGTTACCTGGATCAGATGAAATCCTGGTTGGTAGCACAGCCTCAGGACTCACTGATCCTCCTGCTGGATGGTGATCAGGTGGAGATTGTAAAAAGACGTATTATAACATGTCAATTAGTGCTGTAATCAGACTGCCTTTGCAAAGTGAGAACTATGGATCAGATTCTTACAATGGAATAATTTAATGCATGTTGTTCTTTTGTTTGTTTCTTTAAATGGGAAATAATCTGGTTAGCACATAGTTGTTAGCACACAGACACAAATGGCTTCTTAACACACACACACACACTACTATCACCATTTATGTCGTCATTCAGATTGAAAGTGTGCACACATGTAATGAAAACAAAATCCATTAAATCATTTTTGTCATCTCCAGTCTTTTCCTTGTGCAGTAATACAAGGAACGATTTGCTGTCAACTCATTTTAATCTGAATTGTTTGAAAGTTTAGTGATGACATCCTGTCTGATGACACTTTGTTTACAGGCAGCGTTTTAATCACTATTTTAAAGACTGCTGTGACACTGTGTATGAATGTAACAGCTCGGTGCTGTCTGACAGCATTAGCATTGTTAGTTACCTTAAACAGGCTGAATCCACCGCTGCACTGTGAGGATAAAGACTCTGTGTCGCTCTACTGTCACTTCTTATTCTTCATATGTCACAGCTGGAGATTTTACAAGTGTGAATAACACGCCACGTGCAGGAACAACAGCCTGTACTCTGCAGCGCAACAAGACACTAGAGCGTAAGTAACTCTGGTGACGCGCTCTCTCTCTAACCAATCAGAGAGCTGCATAGCTCACATTCCTCCGTCCGTTGTTTCTACTGGAACGTCCAATGACTCAGCAGAACCAATAAAAGGAAAGTAAACTGCAAAGACAAAAGAAGTAAGTAAATTTTAATTGCAAACATAAAAATATGATCCCTAATTTGATGTTGAATCACTTTACTTATTTTTAAAACTACATAAAACATTTCGAAAATCCTGAAAAAAATCTGAATTTTACTTTTTTGAATGGAGTTTTTATTGAGTTATTGTTTTCACCCCCCTCCCACGCACAGACAGAAAGCTGCTGTGGGAATGTCCGTCTTGTGTTTTTCAGCCCAAAGACGTGAAACATAAACATGAAAGTAAACATTGATTTCACCATGGAAACTGCAATCATGCTACTCTTGCAAAACCCCGCATGCTCATACAGCAAGAGAGAAAACACACGTGCGCAGAGACACACGCGCACAGGGACAGGAAACAGCAGGCCACCGGACATGTACAGACATGCCTGAGCCTCCGTTGTATTGGTAATAATCAGGTACCAATATAAGTTGGTATTGATGTTTATAACATGTTTATGCCAGAAGTCTGAGGTTTAGGTGAGGATACATTCAATTCAATTCAATCATATGTTTTATATATCGACAATTTCTAGTACCAGCTGACCCCAGATCAAACACATAAGAATAATGCAAAACATGTAAAAATATGAGGCTTTTCATTTGAAAGCAGTGCTCCACATTTAAACTTTTTTCGATGTGAGTTGTTTCAAACTGTAGACACAGATGTGTCTGTTTAAATGCTGAATAAGAAGAAACTGTGTGACAAACCTGGCTAAAGAAGGATCCACTATCAAATATGCAATCATTTTTCACATAGTTTTCAGCTGCCAATCAGAGGCAACAAATCACTCAAACATGTTTAAATATCAAACTAAACAGAGAAAATTCACTCACTCAAACAATCATCAGGGTGGAGTCCACAGTTGTGCTGCAGCTGCAGTGCTCACACCTGAACATAGTCCTTGTTCTCAGCCAGGCTCCTTCTTCCTGCCTTCCTCA